TGAATAATGAATATATCAACCCCCTCCCACCCCAATGTTATTTGTGTGGTATTGTTTTTCAGTCGGAATTTTTGGACAAACTTTGAAATCAAATGAAAGTACATCAGTGAATAAAACAGTTCAAAATTGCAAGGGAACATAAAAGTCTATCACACAGTTTTCATAATTTTGCATACTAGAAATGACACGGGTTTAAAAGTTTCGTTTGCGTGATGTCCAATACTATGTATGGACTTGTGCCAAGTCCGATTTCAGACAGACATACGTGGCGCTTAGGATTGTGGGCTTGGTGCATTTGCAGAGACTAAGATGGAACAGTGCCAGCCATCTGTTTCTACACTCCCCACATCACAACATTCAAATTGTTTGCATCTCAAATACACGACAGGCCTAATTATTTAGGAAGATTACACACTTACATATTTACCTTATGAGAAATAATTTACTAGCTGTACACATATCAAATGATTATGAATAAGTAAATTTCTCATAACAACTGCTCTCTCCATCATCGATTATTTATCGCCTTAATGATGGAGGCAGCAACGACGTCTGAAACGACGGTAACTTTCTACCAGACTACACGGCGCAACAACCCAGAAGACAGCCATCTTCAAATTTTACTTTCATACAAACTTGAACCTCAATCCTCAGTTTCAAAATGCTGGCGTACAAGAAATTTCTCTATTTTACCGTCAGGAAAACAATAGATCTCGCTCCCGTGTAATGAAAACGAAACAAGGAAAATTAAAAACAGTGCTAGAATTCCTTACTGTCCTGAACATTGGATTGCACGCGATGCTAAGCCTGCAAACTACGATGCCATCTTCGTGCAGAAGAACGTAAAGTTCTTATTTACCCTGCTTACACATCCCTTCCCATGGGTGTGAGAAGTCCAGGCAGAAAAGCTGACAGCAGATGCAGTTCCTTTGAGCTTCTCGGTTGTCTGGGTTGTCTGGAAGGAAACGCGTAAGTACGGACGACCGCTTACAGAATGCTAATCGGTTCAAGACTTGTGCCAAAGACGCAATTGATATGCCAGGTGCAAAATGATTCGTGTCCCGCAGAACGACAAACACACATGACAAAAAAACGGCAGGTTCTGTTGCGACAGTTCATCGGTTACTCAATTTACATTAAAAATAATCGCGATATAAAGCAAATGCTGGTTTCCTTGATCTGTCCTGCTGCTTATACGACAATAAAATAAGATTTGTTTATTGGCAGATTTTGCATTTTACAGTCTGCTGGTGGTGATGAAGTCTACACGTGACGTCAAATACTAATATTTTTCTGAGCTATGATGACAGTATTACAACAGAGTGCCTCTGTCATGATCATCGGCAAAGGGAACATATGAAGGCCGACTAGGGCAACCAGATGCTGACCGATATATATATATTTATACATGGACTTATAACAGATGATGAAACATCAGGATGCATAAAATTATATAAGTAGCTTCGTGCTTTGTAAGAAATACTAGGGCAATCAAATCAAAGGAAGAGGGGAATGGCGGAGCATGTAGAACGCATGAGAGAAATGATAAATTCATACACAGTTTTACTCCCTTAATTTACCACAACACGACATAAGGAACGGTTTCATCGTGGTATTCCGAGTTGTGACGGATGGTGGCTACCTCAAACCCTACTTAGAAACTGTTTTTATTTCGCAAGGCTACCCCTCGCCCTTTAACCATATTTCTATTCAGCAACAATGAAGTTCAGTAATTCTTTCACTCGTGGAAGCCTTAGTGTATTTCAAGCGTTCTTAGCAAACTGTTGTTACGTGTTAAGAATGCGGAAACACTACTAGAACTCTGGTAACAGAACTACGAATCTGGACGCTACGCAAGGCAAAGATACAAAATGCAGATGTGTTATAACGAGATTCCGTTATCCCTACTTGCACAGCCATTGCTCATACGTTTATTTACTTCTTAATTTATTTATCTGCTTATTTAGTTGTATTCTGTTACTTCCTTATATTAAATTTCCACTGGCAGTACGCAACTTTTTTTTATATCGGATCATCAAAGAGTTAAATTTCGTTCAGCCACTTACTCTGAAGCTTAAAATAAAGATGTGACTCCAAGTTCTCAAAGCGATGAGTACAAAGATGGCTGTCTTCTAGAACGTTGAGGCCCTGTATTTCGGCAGATAATGAACGTCGGTTCATAGGTGCTTACTGCTTCCAATACCAGCGTTCATCGGTCAATTTCTACCACATCACAAGGCACAATAACCTAGTATGTTCACTTACTTAGACTGGCAGAACAACAAGCCTTTAATCAGTCACAATGACAACGACGTACAAACAATTTTTGTTAGTTGGTTAGTTTATAGTTGAGTAGTACGAACTGATAATATACTGAGTAGTTAACTTTCCCATCGTAAAACAATACGGTGTTACTGTTATCACCTTCACTAAGTCAAGCAAAAGATATGAATGCTATCTATTTTCAATGTGAAGCAAACACGGTCCGCACTTAAAATAATATAAATTTGGGCTTTCCTTCTGTAAACTTTCAACGTCACATTTAAAAATAAATAATAAATTAATTTGTTAAATAAATTTATACTAACGGAATAAACTAAAGATACGATTTAAATAGGGTAATTAAAAAGTGAGGAACATGACGTATTGCAGTGACAAATGAGCCAGTGGTCTATTTTAAATCGCTTTTCAACGTACTCAAAAATAACACGGAAAAATCAACAGCTTCAGATAAACCTATAAAGAAGGTCGTTCTGACTGCGAAAATCTTTTTTCCGAAGTGAGAAACAAGAAATAAAAAAAAAAGAATTATCGGAATTAGACAAACGAATCGTCTATATTTTAATTTCAAAGAAATCTCCTTAGGGCAAACCAATAACAAAGACGACGTGAAGATCTTAAGGGTAATGAAGAAAACTGTGGGTGCTGTCTTAAGTTATTTTCCGCGCTGGTTAGCAAAAGTCGTACAATGCGATTCCACTTGAAAATATATGACCTTTTTGTACTTATTTAGGAACTAGTAAACAGGTAAAACACATGACAGCTACAGAAGTTTCGCGTATCTGTACATTGACTCACGTGGAAGACATCATAATGTTTACAGAATCCGAGCCAAACAAAATACAAACACCTGCGAACACCTGACTTCCGCCCAAAAGATATTATTTTTGGAAGTAAACATCGACAATTGCCAACACAACACAGAGGGAAATTCACTGCGCGAAGTTACAGCAACACCCCCATTTATATTATCCAGGATATTCAGTAACCGTTTTGGTGTACGAAGAAGTCATGGAATTCTAACAGTTACTGCCATCGAAGATAGCTGTCTTCTGGGTTGTTGCGCTGTGTTGTCTGGTCGATGTTTACCTCTGAAACGTTGGTAAACTTCTACCAGATTACACGGCGCAACATCCCAGATGACAGCCATCTTCAACTGTTGTTAGCTTGAAGAAGTGCGTGAAGAAACACTAGAAGAGCTACGGCAGCCATGTAATGAAGTCTGAACATAGCGTCCTTTACAGAATATTCACAAGTTTACACAAAAAGCGCTCTCAAAAACGAAAATACAGATTTAATAATAGTGCATTGGCGACACACCTGAATTTTAGACCAGCTCAACGTAGAATAACATTATTTTTCGAAAACTTCCACCTCGTTTATTCGTTATAGTACAGGGTAGCATTGGATACAAACTGCGCAAACTTTTCCTGGAAATAAGATTAATTTTGTTTGTTTGATTTAACACCGTGTGAGATTAAATTAAATTTCTAACCAATACTTCATCGCCAGATGAAAGAAAATTTCTCATGACGGAGATTTTTCACGAATCATTTTGACGAATGAATCAATTCCACGCTAGTTTCAAATTATATGCAACTTTGAAACATTTTCAACAATTTGCTTACCCGC